GGAGGCCGCTCACAGACTGCCGTTCTCTGCCCTCCCCAGAGTGAATGCAAGGGCCTCCTGTGGGGGAGGTGAGGGCTCTTCCTCCCAGCCCTGGAGGGACCCTAGCGAGGAGCTGGACAACCTCAGGAAGTCTGACCTCCAGTGATAGCCTGGGGCATGGACTTGAATGAGACTGCACCTCTTCTACCCTTTGCTTCCAGCATTTTGGGGGAAGGACAGGCAGCAGGATTTGTCTAAAGGAAGAGCAGCCTCAGGAGCCCCCAGAGCCTGCTGGGTGAGGGGGGACACAGTTGTGCCAAAGGCCATTTGGTTCCTCCAGGCAGGCCTGGGGCTGGCTGGGACCTCCAGCAAGACCAGGTCTGCTCCTGACTGTCATGAAGGCGGCATAGCCATGTCTGCAGTGTCTTTAGTGGGCACACCTCTCTGGCCAAGTTCCTTGTCCATGTCAACATGGTAGTTCTAGCAAGTTCCACCAGAAAGGCTGTTCTTCAACATGTTTCTTCTTTCACTGACTTCTAAAGATTCTCCATACTCCACTTCTCTCCTGATACTCTCCCTACCCTGTTCCAAACTTACCTTCCACCTGCACTGAGGTTGTGGTTGTGGTCCAGCACCATCCACCAGCGCTGTTGCCTTAGATGTTTCAGGATGGGGGAGATAATCCCTTGTGTTCTCTGGATACTTCTGGAGAAAGGTTGAGTGTATGGAAGGAGAAGGGCCCAGGCAACAAGGTTGGTGCCTTCTAGCACCCCAGGATTGTGTGAACCACCCCTTCTGTTTTCTTCAAATACTTTAATAAAATGTTTTTGTGTTGAATTCCTATACTGAACACATAGAGTAGGCAGGACGTGGGTGCTTTGGTTAATCTATCTAGCTTGACTCTTTTTTTTTTTTTTTTTTTTAATTTGACAGATAGAAATCACAAGTAGGCAGAGAGGCAGGCAGAGAGAGGAGGAAGCAGACTCCCCGCGGAGCAGAGAGCCTGATGCGGGGCTCAATCCCAGGATCCTGAGACCATGACCTGAGCCGAAGGCAGAGGCTTTAACCCGCTGAACCACCCAGGCGCCCCATTCTATCTAGCTTGGCATCAACCTGCAGTTGGTGCCCAAACCCTTGTCTGCACCAAAGCTCTTCCCTGAGTGTCGCACCCTATTGCCATGAGGCTGGCATCAGTGGGGGCAGGGAAGGAGGAGTCTCCAGTGCAAGCCTGGGGCACAACTAGTAGGCAAGGCCTTGGAGAAGTCACTGTATGTCTCTGTCCCTGCCGTCCCCTAAAGGACCTGACTGTGCCATCACCTTCCTATCCTGAGCCTTGGTTCCCTCATCTGCAGAGTGAGGGTGCTGAACTAGCTGCTCTCCATGGCGCCGCCCACCTTGGCCATTCCCTCTCTAGGGAAGAGGAACATTAATGAATCCAGTGACTACTTAAGGTTCACTCACCTGCATTTCCAGCTCCAGACTGACTTGGACCCAATCCAGACTCACTAGGCAACTTTATAAATACATGGCTCATGGCCCCTGATAGGGGAGGTTTTTGTGCAGGTCAGTGCTGTGATTACAGGAGCCCTAAGTGAATCAGCATTTCACTGAGCCTCTGCTACGTGCTGGGCATAGAGGAGAGTTCTTCATCGTGGAGGTAGATGGTATCTGCATTGTACAGATGGAGGAACTGAGCTCTGGAGAGATGACAGCCCTTCCCCAAGCCAGGCATAAAGCTGGGAGGCAAACTCCGGTGTAACCGACCAGAGCCTGCGCTCTCCCCCTGTGTGGTGTCACTGTGCCCTCCCGGGCCACACCTGCCCCTGGCTGGGAGTCTTTCATCTGGACGGACTGAGGGGCACAGAGACTGAAGGGCACAGAGATGGGGTGGGAGGGGTGAGTAGTTCAAATGCGGAGGCGTGACTCTAGGCCCCATGAGGGATGGGAAGGTTTTGAGACTTGGCTCCTATCTCTGGGGGTTTTATAGAGTGCAGGTGCAGGGGGTAAGTTTAGAAGTTTAGATTGTGGGAACAATAGAAGGCAGGGCATCCTGGCCCCATAAGACTTCAGGGGAAGGAAAGGGGAGTGAGGAGACAGAGGGACCCGAAAGATGAGAGCCCTTCAGTTAGGGAATGAGGGAGGGGTGCACTTAGGGGCAGCGCAGGCAGCTGCCTTGAGACAGGCCTGTGGGGGCGCTTGTTGTGGGGGCAGGACTGGACAGAGCTGGAAGCAGGAAGGGGGTGGTCTCTGCAACCTCCTGTCCTCTCCACAGCAGCTGCGCAGCAGGCTAGGCTGACGCTTCCTTCCACCTCTGGTTCCTTCTCCGGCGTCCTAAACAGGTGCCCGGGGAAGGGACCACCTACCGAGCTGACAGAACTTCACCCATCCGTGGGGCTAGTGAGGCCGCCTCGATGCCGCTCCCCCTGCCCCCACAGTAGGATGGACTGCTGGTGGCATAGATGGCTAAGTCAGGGTGCCTGGATCTTACCCAACTCGGCTCCCTTGTGAGCTCAGCTGTATGAGCCCTTTCTGGGCCTCAGTTTCCCTGTCAGCGCAAGGGGATAGGCAGAGGGCACATCATCTGCCGGTGACACTAGGGTCAAGTGAGTATACAGGGTAGGCTATCTGCGACCTGGTGGCTGGGGACCCACCACCTAATCCGTAACCGCCTCACCTCAGCTTGTGTCCCGGGAGCTGGCCGGAGATGGGGTGGTAGCCAGATGGTAGTATTTTGGACACTTCGGGACCTAAAAGGTGGAAACAGAGGAAAAGGGTCATCTGGCCCAGAGGGAAGGCTGGAAACAAGGCTCCGAGCTGGGAATGAGGGAAAGCTCCCCCATACTCACCCTCAACCCCACCCGAAGCCCAAGCAGGAAATTTTATGCTGAGAACTTGCTATTTAAGGGGGCCTCTAGGGAGGTCTGGCCAGAAAGGAGCCATTTGAGGAAGGATTTAAAATTAGCCTGGGTGAAATGGGTGGCCCCTGGGGAGAACTGAGGCAGAGGTTTCTGTGGGGCGGCTCTGGATCCTTGTCTTTGACCAAAACCACACCCCAGGGAGCAGGGAGTAGGACTGAGCCAGGTCCATCGAGCACGGCCCTGGCTGGGCTTGTACTCTGTCAGTCCATCTTTGGGGGGTGGGCTGGGTGCCCGGGTCTGCTGCCTTTTAAGAACAAGATGCGTGACCTGAGCCTAGCACTTTTGTTTGAGGGCTTACATGTAAATTAAAGGCCCTTCCATCAGAGGGCAGAGGCGTGTAGACGACCGTCCTTCTCTAGAGTCCAGGAGCTGGGTTTACTCTACCTGGAGCTTGGGCTGTCCAGTTCTCAGGTTCCTCTGGAAATTGGGCCATGCCTGAGAACTGCATCCACAGGGAAATGAAATGTGCAGAACCTTTGACCCGGGCCTAGAAGCAGAGACATGTCTGGGGAGGGAGAGGCACGACCAGAGGGGGAAGATGCATCCTGAATGGCAAGGGATTCTGCCTGGTGTGCTTCTTGGCAAACACCTGTGTGAGAGAAGCAGCTTGTCCTCAATCCATTCTTGATCAGTGATGGGCTGGGAGTCATTCTTGGTGTGGGCGGGGCTGGTGACCCTGGTTACCAGCAGCTGTCGGTGCTGGTTTCCTTTGCCATTTCTGGCTCTGTTGAGATCTGTGTATTCGCTGGGGGTGTGTGTGTCCTGTCTGTCTGTCTGTCTGTGTGCCTGCCTGCATTGGGTGTAACTTAGCCTGGCTGCTCAGCTTCCTGGTTCAAGCCATTGGAAGGGCTGTTGCCTGGGTTCAGTAGGCCATCACTGGAGCATGGAGGAAATTCTTTGGTGCCTCTGGAGAAGGGGATGTGGCCCCTGTAGGGCATCTGAATGCCTCAGGAATGGCCACATGGAGGGTGGGGGTGACTGAGGCCTGTGAGCTTTCTCTTACACCAACAGGGATGAGTCGAGAAGACCTATGCGTGGCTTGATGGTACAAGATGCAGCTTGAAATCAGGAGTCAAGTGTATAGGGGAGCTCTATTTATTTGGGTTTTTTCATGCCTCAACCACAGTTTTTATATGTATTTTTAATGGACCTAAACGATGGAAAATCCTCCCTCCTTATTCTAATTATTGGCTGATCTGGCCTTGCTCCTTGAGCATCTGGTGCCAGTGGTGAGGTAGAGTGTCTGCCAGCCTCTCAGGGACCTCACCCACAGCTCAGGGGTCAGGGCTGGTCAGAGTCACAGGATGGACCCCTGGTGTCTTGACCTGGCTTTACCAGGAACTTGTCACCATGGTGAGGGCAAGGCTCTAACATCACCACCTGCCTCACTTGAAGCTAGTGGGATCCTACTCAATCTCCAAAACCCCGCGTAACTGTTCCCTCTCTGACTTCTTAGCCAGGTTCCTTACTCAGTAAATATTTAATACAGCCACATGCTAAGAACGGGGCATATAGGCAAGAATACAGCATAGTCCCTGCCATTGAAGAGCCTCCGTCTAGCGTAGGAAGCACTAGGAGATGGTTGTGAACGTGCTGGGCCCTCTGTTGAAATCCTTCCAGGGTGAAGCGTGGCCTAAGACTTAGGATCCGTTTACCTCCTTGCGTCTTCTCTGGTCCGGGCAGAGCCTCTCAACCAGGGGTCCATTGGTACCCTCTGAAAACTATATACATTGTGACTTGTTTAATTTCGGGGGTATAGACACCATAGCTTTCTGGAAGTCTCTGGGATCCTTGATCTGTGTGCTTATCACACAGGGCTCTCTCCTCACACAGGGCTTTCTCCTCTGGCCGCCGTTCAGTCTGTGCACAGAGGCTGTCAGCAGGTGCTCGTTGGACCACCTGTGGGATGAACACAGAGAAAGCAAAGTGGATAGGAAGGGCTTTGAGAAGTGAAATGCTGTGAAACTCCCAAGTGTTCCTTTGCCTTGGCCTCCAAAGGAAGCCCAGGGTACACGGGATTCCTCCTTCGCCTCTGGAAGGATTCCAGTTCCCTCCTGAAGGAAGAGCCATTATACCCTGTCTACTGTGGTCTCTGTCCCCCAGGTCCGGACACTATTTGTCAGTGGCCTCCCTGTGGACATTAAACCCAGAGAACTCTACCTGCTCTTCCGGCCGTTCAAGGTGAGTCTGGACCCAGCTGCCCATAGGCAGAGGAGGAACATCAGGAATGAGTCTGACCTGGACAGGGCAACAGAAAAGACAGAGGACAGCGTATCAGAAATTGTGATTGCAGAGCTGGCTCTCTGTCCTGGTTCAGCTCATTCCCATGTCTCTCTTCACCAGTGGCTTAGCCCTCTCTGAGCCTCTCTTTTCTCATCTGTAAAGCGGAAACGAGAGAGAATCTCAGTAGATTTAACCATATAAGGAATATTTGCGATTCAGTGTAGACTTTTCAGTTGAAGTTTTGAGAAAACTTTACAAGGTAGGGTCTGTCCTTCCAGATTATAAGTTAGCAGAGCAAGCAGGAATTTACGCGTGAAATGATGAATGCTGCCTCATGATGCCCACCCCGTGTGCTAGACCATGTGATGGGGAACACAAGGGCAGAGGGCGCATGCCAGTGGTGGAAGTCAGAGCGGTGGACGTGAGTGGGGAGCGCGGGGGAGTGTGAGAATGGTGCAGCTGGGTGCGGGAGGAGGGGGGCTGGGATAGGCACAAGGAAGGCTTCTGACCTTTTCCGTGATGACCGTCTCTCTCTGCAGGGCTATGAAGGGTCCCTGATCAAGCTCACATCAAGACAGGTAATTTCTCTCCAAAGTTTTTTTCCTCCCAGCCCAGACTGACTGCTAAGCTTTGACCTGAGCCTGCTGCCTTCTTCCTCATCTTGAGGCATCTGGCAGCTGAGACCTGCTCCCTCTCATCTGGTTTCTGTGCTGGGCCAGTGTAAGAGTGGCTTCCAGCTCCCTTGTCCTTACCAGTCAGCTCCTGGGCCTCCTGCTTCGGCGTTTGTGGAGCTGCAGCCTGGCCCCAAGGCTGAAGAGCACAGACATGGTGGCTGTGCCTGGGCTCCTGATGGCCCTATGTGGCCAACTTACCAGAATGAAGTTGGAGAAGTTTTCAACCTGTTGCCCCTTGTTTGAGCCTGGAGCCTTCTTATGTCCTTGATACGTTGGTGTCCCCTTTCTTGCTGGAGAAAACACTGGAACTTAATTATGGGCATGCATTTTTTTTAAGATTTTATTTATTTATTTGAGAGAGAGAGATCACAAGTAGGCAGAGAGGCAGGCAGAGAGAGAGAGGAGGAAGCAGGCTCCCTGCTGAGCAGAGAGCCAGGTGTGGGGCTCGATCTCAGGACCCTGGGATCATGACCTGAGCCGAAGGCAGAGGCTTTAACCCACTGAGCCACCCAGGCTCCCCACGGGCATGCATTTCAAAAAAAGGTTTGAAACCATTTCAAAAAAAGGTTTACGGAGAGGGTGATGTTTAATGTGGTGGCATAAAGCTCTGTTGGCACCCTTTCACACAATGGGGAGCCTGGATGGGAGACTTTGGATGCATGAGAAACTTCTCCTATTCCTGCTAAACATGGGCAGGAGATAGGCAAGAAGTTGGTTTTTGTTTGTTTGTTTTATTTTTGAGGGGGAGATGGAATGTTGGGAGAGATGCAAGGGTGTTCTCTCTTCTTCCTACTAGCCTGTCGGTTTTGTGATCTTTGACAGCCGAGCAGGAGCAGAAGCAGCCAAGAATGCGTTGAACGTGAGTAGACAAGGTTTTCTCTGACCTGCAGACCTCTAGGCAACAAATATTTCTGTTCTACCTCCTGCAAACCTTCCCACTCTCCATGCCCCCCCCGTCCCCCCAGAAACGGCTACAGATGTGCCTCATTGCCCAGCCATTCCGGGGCCACGTCCCTGGCTGCACTGTCTGTGTCAGATGCCACTACTTACAAGGTCCAAGCAGCATGTCATCTGTCTTGTCCCCTGCATGGGTGAGGCTTTTAGGCAAGATCTTTTCTTTTCTTTTCTTTTCTTTTCTTTTCTTTTCTTTTCTTTTC